AGAACAAATCCTTAGTCCTTCTCAAGTACTTAAGGATGTTCTTGACCACAATCCAGTGAGCTTCACCTGGTGTGGACTGATATCTACTAGTCATGATCAATACATATGATACATCCGGATGAGTACACAATATGGCATACATGATGGATCCAATTGGCGAGGCATATGGGATCCTACTCATGCGCTCTTGCTCATCCTGTGTCTTTGGACACTGAGTCTTGCTTAGAGCCACGTCATGTCCCATTGGCAAGGCACCCCTCTTGGAGTCTTGCATCTGGAACCGATTCAAGACCTTGTCAATGTATGTACTCTGACTTAGGCCAAGAAGCCTTCTCGATCTATCTCTATAGATCTTGATGCCTATAATATAAGCGGTTTCTCCTAAGTCTTTCATCGAAAAGACTGCCCCTAGCCATGATTTTACTCCTTGCAAAGTAGGAACATCATTTCCGATGAGCAATATATCATCTACATAGAGCACAAGGAAAACCACTGCGCTCCCACTGACCTTCTTGTAAACGCATGGCTCATCTTCGTTTTGCAGGAAGCCAAACATTTTGACTGCCTCGTCAAATCAAAGATTTCAGCTCCTCGAAGCTTGCTTCAGTCCATAAATGGATATCTGAAGCTTGCATACCTTCCTCGGACTCTTAGGATCGACAAAGCCCTCGGGTTATGTCATGTACACGTCCTCGAGCAGATTCCCGTTAAGGAATGCGGTCTTGACGTCCATCTGCTATATCTCATGGTCATAATACGCAGCTATGGCTAGCAGAATCCGTATGCATTTAAGCATCACGACTGATGAAAAGGTTTCATCATAGTCTATACCATGAATCTGCCGAAACCCTATAGCGACGAGTCGTGCCTTATAGATATGCACGATGCCATCTATGTCGGTTTTCTTCTTGAAAACCCACTTGCATCCAATGATCTTAATACCATCGAACGAATCGACCAAAGTCCACACTTTGTTGTCGTACATGGATTGCATTTCAGACTCCATGGCCTGGTGCCATTTCTCGGAATCGGAACTCGCCACAGCCTCTGAATACGACGTAGGCTCGTCATGTTCTAACAACATGAGTTCGTCGTTTCCAGTCACAAGAAAACCGTATCTTGTAGGCTCTTGGCGAATTCTACCAGATCTCCGAGGTCCACTAGGAGGTGCTGTCTCAACAACTTGTGATAGAGGTTGAACTGATTTGACCCGTTCACTCGGTTCTTCGATTATTTGTAGTTCTCGAACTTCTTCGAGATCTATTCTACTCCAACTGACTCTCTTGGAGACGAACTCTTTCTCCAAGAAAGATCCATTCCGAACAATAAACACTTTGTTCTCGGATGGATTGTAGAACCAGTACCCTTTTGTTTTCTTAGGATAACCCAAAAATATTCATTTATCAGATTTAGCAGATAGTGTTGGTTTAGTGCTCTATGATGTACTGATTATGAGCTTTGTTCAGATACATTCGATGTATTGATGCTTTCTATATGTTTTTTTTATGAGAGTATCTTGTTCATTACATGTTCCTGCATGCTAGATCTGTTATGAAATCCATGTATCATTATGAATGATACTAAACTCCCTAGTCTTGTGTCATTATGGGAATAACGACATAATAAGACTAGTATGATGTGTGATTGATGATCACATAGATGATCATAGGTATTGGATACGATCACAATCATAGGTATTCGTTGCAGAACGGAATACTGGACTGACCTGCATGAGATTGTCACATGGACTAGCGTCATGACTTGAATCTCATACGACGATTCCATGATTGGATCCTAAGACCTGAGATATCTACAGAATCCAACATGAGGAGTTGCGTGCTTTGATTACGTCAAACGTCCTGCGTAACAGGAGGACTATAAAGGCGTGTATCAGGTACGAAACGAATCATGTACTGGATTGTAGATAGTCAATACGGGATTTGTACCTCTCGTAAAAGAGAGAGATATCGCTGGGCCCCTCGTGTGAGCAAGACTGTAGAAATGTGTGGCTGCACTATAGACGAACGTCGTCTATTTCAGACAGTCGAACTCAGTGAACGAGAAAGCAGTCGAATCAGATAAGGTGGCTTGTCCATGCCTTATGTTCGACATATGATATCGCGATACAAAAGGATCATCAGTCGGAATCATCACTGGCTTTCGTATGATCACAAACAAACTCTATTCGAGATAGGTAGTCATAGTGTCTTGCTAGAGACCGCCTATGACTTGTATTACCGGAATGGAGATTCTGCGTTTTACTACTATTCCGGATGAGCCTACAGGGTCACACACAATAGGGATGGACAAGTACGTGTGCTAAATTATCCCGATTAGGAATCCTAATTGGATTGAGATTCCTAATTGGAATAGGAATCCTAATGGGATTAGGAATCCTATTATGTATAGGAATCCTAATGAGATTAGAATTCTATTACATCTAGGAAACCTAATGAGATTAGAATTCTAATAGGTTTAGGAAACCTAATTAGATTAGGATTCCTAGTAATCTATTCCTTGTCAAATTAGGAATTTTGGAAAGTCTATATAAGGAGAATGTCTTATAGGGTTTTAAGTGAAGAAGAAAAAAAAAGAAAAAAAAAAGGAGGAAGAAAAATAAAACCCTAAGCCTCCAAAAAAAAAACCTTGCACACAAGAGAGATCAAGATCTCTAGTCCTAGCAGACAAGTTCCAAGGTGTTGGAATCCATCCCGACGTATGGATACGTGTAGAGGGCGAGGTATTCTCCCTGCCTAGAGTGATCGGACGAACAAATCAATTGATACAGGCCCCGGATCGATTGAGGAAATCGTTCTAACGTTTCTATGATTCAATAGTAGCAGAACTCCTGCTCTCTATGCATCATGAAGCGTGCAATCTACACTAGATTCAATCATCAAACATGCATAGATATCAAAGCAAACATGGATTCAAACAATTCAAATCCTAAAACATGCGTGATCGGGTTCTATGAAATCAAAACAGAGCAACCAGGCTCTGATACCACTGTTGGGTTTCCTGGGATCTCATGAGCGAATCTAATTCCTAAGAGATCGATTCTAGGGTTTGCGCAGCGGATATAAAACAAAAATTTTAATGAAACCCTAGAACCATGCCCACGGGTGACGGACTAATTGGCACAGAACGGAAGGTTGGACCGTCCGTTCTGCCATGCAGAACGTCCGTTCTACTAGGCAGAACATCCTCTGACTTTTGCAGTCGAGACCGAATGTTCTGCCAAGCCTGGAACGTCCGTTCTACCTCCAGATTACGAAAATTTCCGTTTTCGAGGTCTGATTATGCAATCGTTGCATAATCTGATCAACTGTAACTCAAATAGACATGATTCATTCTTA